TCTAATCCATCTATCAGCTATTCAACTTGTTAACAATTGATTTGATCTGACATCTAGTCGCTTCTCGTAGTAAAAGAAAATGGTATTCAAATTATTTCACAGCTGAAACTATTAATTATAAAACATAAGGGGAACTTAATTCATTGGAAAACCGAACGCATAGATATTATCGATTATTCGAACTGTCCCTTTGCGGCATTATCGATTGAGCATTTATATCATATAAATGTTATTTGGGGCTCAGAAATAATAAGAAGAGCAGCCATTGCTTTAGTAGGCATGAGCGTTGCTTGAATATTTTGAGCTGACTTCAAAATGTTATGGCCTCAGCTCTGAAACTAAGTTTTATATGGCAAAAGTAATTAACCCAATCTCTGAAGGAATTTATCATTATCATTATCTCAGATATATATTCTTATGTCAGATATATAATATAGTCTTAGATATCTTGGTATAAAATAATTGTTTTAGTACAAGAAGAAATCTTTCGACCGATTGTTCTTATGGCAGCCAAATAAAAGTATAATTCGACTTTATGGCTAATACTAAGTTTCATTAAGATAGCTCTAAAACTAAGCTAGTTCTACGCATATAACAATAAAAAAAACTAGGAAAGACGGACAGAATAATATGGTTATATAGACTGGCTACTCAATATTATAATTAAGTATAGTACCCTAATTATAATACACTAAAAATATAAACTAGAAAGTTTTTCTTATTATTCGAAATAATTTCTATGTAAGCAAAAAATTTATAATAATTAGAATGGCCAAAAAGGGTTTTTCTTCGAAATATTTTCTATTATGATGAAATGAAAATTAAAAATAAGGTGTTGAAATGCATTCCCTAATTTTTAGAAAAAATCGTTACTAATATTGACAAAAATGTAATGAAATTTATATTATTTTATTTTTTATATTTGAGTTCAGAGTAGCTCAGCTAAAAATCATCTCTAAGATTCAGGGCGATGATTTTTTGTGCAGATTAGGATATTTGCAAATACATAACTACGTAATACATATATTCTTTGAGTATAAAATAGAATCTATGCTGCTGAGAATATTATCTATCTATTTGGCATTCCAATTCATTGCGTGAGCTTTTAGAATTGAACTGTTTTTAACATATTATTCTTATTTTATATATGCATACATATATTTACATTCTTAATACTTTCTTTCAAAATTAGTAGATTAGCAAATATCAAGTATATAAGTAATATCTGATACATTTGATATATTTGTAGCTAACTATGAAGATTTGGTCTGATTGGGTTTTTCTGTGTTTCCCCCAATTCACGCAACAAATGTTGGACCATTTTGCATTTAAATACCCCCAGAGGTCTTATAAATATTTCATATTATTTCATTTATATATGTAATTTGAAATTAAATTTAATTCAATTCTTTTACTTTTAGTATTTCTTGTGTCGACTGACTTTAGTTGACAATAAATAAATAAATTCATTTACAAAATTCAGTCGGTTTTTTCTTACCAATTTTAAGAACAATTTATAAATAAATTTAAACCGGATTGAATGTGTTAAAAACATATGTATACACACACACACACACACACACACACACACACAAACATATGTCCAGCTGGTATTCACCTCAAGTCAGACAGCGCAGGAGATGGCCGAGCAAGCTGAAATTCACCACACTTTGCCTGTGCGTTGAACCCTTGGCGAGTGAACGGTGAACGGCGACCTTAGCTCCGCCCATTTTATAATGGCCTCGTCTCTGCCGCGCTGCCCGCGTTGCGACGCATGCGCCGTGCCGGCGAAACTGCCAGGCAAAGCAGAATGGAAGGGAAAGACACGAAAAACGATGGAAGTCAAGCGGTGCGCGCGGCATGGGCTGGAAATCGGTTTGAGTTTGAGATGGAAGCTAGAACCAAGTGGAGTGGAATGGAGTCGAATGGAATGGGATGCATGCATCGGGATGGGATTGGATGGGATGGGATGGGTTGGGATGGGTTGGGTTTGACTCTGTTGGTTTTTCCGTCGCTGATTACCATTTTGATAAAATTATTCAAATGAGAAGCGCTCAATATGGAAATGACTCCTGGGGCGTCTAGCAAGGCAATTAAAATTTTAATGGCTTTATGATATTTTTTCTTTTCGAGCCCCGTCAACTTCAGCGGGGCGACCGTAACTTCAAGACCAGACTAAGACGGCTGGAAATTTAAATGTTTTAGTGTGCAGCGTAACGGGGCACTGCTCTGCCCCCACCAACCCCCCCTTCGATCCCTTTCCTCATCCATTCCACAAGCGCTCCACGCTGAACTGCAACATGTAGCATTAATTATGCGGCGATAATGTCTTGGTTTGTTGCAAAGAGTTTTGGATTCTCTTTTTTATGAAAGTGTCAGAATAAATTACATTATTTTGAAGCCATGCTTCGTCTGTTTCAGGTTACAGCAACGAGAACTCCCAATCCGTATGTATGTATACATAAATATATACATATGTACACAGACATACATACATATAAATAAGGGCTCTTGCCGCATGACTGCTTTGAATTTCAATGAATTCAGTCGGCGACACTTTGCTCTGTTTGCCCCATGCTGCATGCCATTTTGTGTGTGTCTGGGCATGTTCATAATAATTGTGTACATACATACTTGTATACTACTACATTCCATGTATGTCATGTATTTATGATAGCCGCCCCTCCCCTCCCCTCACCTCCCCGCCATCCCCAACAGAGACGTGGCACGAGACTCCACTCTCTGTGTGTCTGAGTGGCAATTAAACTGTGGCATACACATGCAGATCAATTAGCTACGTCTGCATTCATTGGGTGTTCAATTGTCGAAAGTGGTAACAGATGCTCCATATATATATATATATATTTGGTATATGTATATGTATATATATATATGTATCTTTTTGTATGGATGTTCGCACGAAACTATTTGAGATTTCACCAACCCTTTTCTGCCTAAAATTGGGCATCCAGCTGTGTGTTGTTTCTGTGGTCAGAATCAAAATATTTTGAGACATGAGCTGCTGTACTTTGGTTTATGGTGTGTGGTCATAAATGAATCCGCCTTCACGCTTTCGCCGGACCACACCGGTCTCAACCCAAATGCTGAACCGTTATTATGCCAAAATTGTGCCATATCCTTAGGACCTGCGTCCCAGACCTCGTTTTGCGTCACTCGCGAAAGGTCGTTCCTCAGTTTCCCAGTGTCATAAATCACTAGAAAGACACCTCAAATAACCCTTTTATCCGTCTTCTACCTGTCTGGTACTGCCAGCAATTTATATATATGTGTTTGTTGTCGAAAGTTGTCCAAAATGCATTTCATTTTATGAGGATGCGAACCCTTTTTCTTGCCACTTATCAGGAAAGCATGCAATTTCTCAGTTAAGATAACATTGAAGTTTGCTTAGTTTGTCAAATATTGTTGATAAACAAATTAGAACTAAGAATTCTTTGCGATAATCATTTGAAGATTTCCCTTTTGGAATCTATTGAAAGGAATCATATAAAATTTAATATTACTCCTTTTCTACTCTGGTCGTAATAAGTTTTTCTGCATCGGCACTTTACTCTGTTTGACAAGAAGTGAAGTGCAAATTGTTTATTTTTTAGGATATTTCTTTACAAATGAATGTTAGCTTTAGTGTGCCTAAAATACCTGTTTTCCTGGTTATATCCTGAATCAATTAAAAATGGATAAGAATCCGGCGGCTAAACCGACATTAATTTGTGTTCCGATTACGATTCTGGTAATTCGACTATATAAAAACGCCGAAATTTTCCCAAATTTTCTTAAGGTATTTGGTTGAGTATTGGTAACTTGATTATTACGGTACATATAACACATACATATATCAAATAACTCGGTCGGTTTTTGAAATTGATAAAGAATTTGAGGTTTCAGCAGGTGTACTGAGTTCTGCAATGGTATGTTATCATCGGAGTGCCTAAAAGACCTGTCCTATTTTCAGATCCCATAGATAAAAGTGCGTAATATTGTGTCTTGTCTATGACTCCATAGATATAATATATATATATCGGCATCAAAAGCTGAGTCGCGCTGACTCCGTCTGCTTGTTCGATTGAGCTACAGCTTTAGTCCTTAAATTTGGAATATAAGTTCCCGTATACCAATATTAATCACAGACACATTTACATACATACACCTAAATAAATTTCGATTCCGTTTTTGAATCTGCAGTATAATTGAAAAACATTTGATTCTAGGCTTGGTTAGTGATTCGAATCTAATTTCGAGTACTGTTTTTTTCTAAGTGTGCTTATGTATTTAAATTTCGAATAGTGAACATCTTTTTTTGAAACTTATATTGTACTGTAGAATATACAATTAAATATATATAATTCTTGTTAATGAAATAAAAGTTTTTACAAATAATTCCAAAATATTTTTCCACCTTACTTTCAATTTATTACTGACATCTCTTGGATCTAGTAAAATTCAATTCAAAGAGAGAAATTGATCTTATTAAAACTTTATCATTTTTGTTCGAGATTATTTTTTAAAATTCCTAAACAATTATATAGAGATTTTAAAAGTGTTTTAAGCCAGAGTTTTATAATAATGTTATCAAATATAAAAAGCATGTTTTTAAAGTATAGAATAACCCACATTCGGAACGATAAATGTAAATATAAATAATATATATTTAACTAAATATATGTAATAAATGGTGATATTTCCAACGTCTTTATCGGTATATATATATGTTGCATATATATACTTATACATTTGTATTTACTTGTGACGTACGGGGTTGAAGATGCCTCCCCTAAGTGTTGCACAATCCGTGAACAACATCCAAACGTATACAAAAATAGGCGTAACAAAAAATAAGTATATTTTGTGAGATACTTTCCGGCTATAATTTTGGACTTAATTTAAATTCAAAGATATCAATGTAAGTTGTAAAAGTATCAAGGATATGCCGACGGTGCCATTCAATGGAGATGCCATTTTTATATGCATAAGTAAAAACTCACCCGAAGGGGGGCATCAGTCCAGTAGTGCTGCCAAAGTTTTGCATTGGTTTTGTTTACACGAAAACATTGTACCATGAATCAGGTCCACTATTTATGTCCAAAATGTCAGGAACGGCGGCAACAAATCATTTTAATTGAATCCACGCCCAGCGAATCTGAGAAAACCCGGCGAACGCGAGGAGCTGGACGGGCCCATTGGACCGACACGAAAGTCGGCAAGTCGACAAGTCGAGACGAGAGAAGCATGGATGGATGGGTTCCCGGTCCTCCGCCCAAAGAGCAGCGACCGCAGACCAAACCTCAAAGCAGAAAATACACAAGTACGAAGCACAAAGCACAGAACCGGCCCTGAAGTGTTGTTAACGTTAGCTTTTTTTTTTCTTTTTTTTTGTTGTTTTTGCCTTGCCCATCACACGCGAGATTGTAATCCATACGAGTATTATTCACAGTTGGTCGAAAGGCGCTTGTGTTGCTTGGGAGGAGCAGCCCCCTCGTTCTTCATGTTGTATGTCAATATTATAATTAATTTCGGTTAATTTTTGGCAACACACGAACCGGCTCGAGTTGATTTACAGATTTTGTTGAACTTCACTTTTGTTTGCGGATTTCAATAGTTCACACTTCGGCGAAAATGGAGACCCCGGCAGCTGTCCGACTTCGAATGCGACACTTGAATGGGGAACAATTGGACAAGTCGAGAGCTCGATGGGCTCTGGCACGGTTGGCGGTGTCGATATCAATAGCTGTGGTTGGTGAATGGTGAATGGTGAATGGAGCACAGGACGTCTCTGGTTGACGCGGCGTCGACCTGATAGCAAAGTGTCCAAAAAATAATATTTGCTGTTCAGTTTGACACAAGAGTCAGTCAGTGGTTGCCGAGGCCGAGGCCGAGACCGAGGCCGAGGCTCTGAAGCCGTGACAGCGCGGTCGGCGCACGAAGTGGCGTCGAGCGCAAGAACGAAGCGAAAAGCAACAGAAACGCGTCAAATGTGAGTGCGAGTGTGAGTGTGCCAGTGAGTGTGCGAGTGAGTGTGCGAGTGAGTGTTAGTGTGAGTGTGAGTGTGAGAATACGGCAAGGCAGACTCGGCATTAACAGTAACAAGACAGAGTAGAGCCAGTGCCACAGCCAGAGCCAGAGCCACAACCAGAGCCAGAGCAACAACCACACAGCAATCAGATACAGATAGACAGACGGACAGACAGACGGACAGGGAGACGGAGAGACAGACGAACGAACGGACAGACGCGTTGCGCGCTGGGGAAAAGGTGTCGCTTGGCGGTGGTTGCGAGTCAAGAGTGAATGTGTTCCTCTGTGTGTTTGAATGTGGATGTGGATGATGACGATGACAGCGTCGCATCGCGTCGCGTCGCTTGACGCTCGCTGACAAAAAAGAAGAAGAAGAAGAGGAGGGAAAAAAGAAGACATAAGCCCGCAGCACCACAAGCAGCAGCAGCAGCAGCAGCAGCCGCAACACTTACGCTTGCGACGAGAACGCAAAAGGACGGAGATGGACGGAGATGGAGAACGAAACGAAATGAAAATGAAAATGAGACTGAGAACTGAGAACGGAGAACGGAGAACCGAACATGAACATGAGCTGCAAGCAGCCAGGCCAGCAAGCCAGCCAGCAAGGGCTGTGCACCATTGAAAAGATGAAAAGCCAGAGGAGCAGCAGCAAGCAGCAGCATTAAGGCACAGCGATGGGTAATAAAACGCGCGCGAGTAGCTCCTCTCTCTCTCTCTCTCGCTCTCTCTCTCTTTATTTCGCTCTGACTGTCGCTGTCTCGCTCGCACGCTTATGCACACACAAAACAACCACCGGAGCGCTGTCACGAAGCGACAGACTCTAACACTGATACAAACACATGTCGAATCATTTTATATACGCCATTTGTGCTGTCTGCCGTAGATACATTTGTATCTTTATGTGCGAAACAAGTCCACGCCGCCCCGGCGTCGACTATATACTTGCCATGTGTGTGTGCTTCTGTCTGTCTGTGTGTGTGTGTGTGTGTGTGTATACTCGATGCTGATGTTGACGCTGACGACATCGGCATCAACGACGAGTCAATTTTGAATTCCAGTTTCGCATCTTAGTGGTTGTCGTTTGTTCTTTTTATACCCTGTTCCCAATTTGGTCTGGGTAGAAAGGGCAAACAGCCATGTATTTCCATGTCTGTCTGTCTCTCTGACCATCTGTCCGTATGAATCCGCTGATTTCTCGTACACTAAGCAAAAAAATAACCCTAACAATTATAAAGCTTTTCATGTTTTTAGAAATAATTTTTCTATAAGAAAATAAATTATAAAATCTTCATTTGACGCATTTTTTCTGTTATTGAGAAATGCATTTCTTAAAAGTAGAAATATTTACAGAAATTGTTATAAAAAAATATTTTCTAAATTCAGACAAAATTAATTATAATTACAGGCTCGGCTTTTATATTAAACTTTAGTTTTCGTTTGCTTTAGAAATCGAGAAAATTCATTAAATTCATATCTTCGTCAATAATGATCCAATCTTCGAGTAATATTCCATTTTCTGTGGTCTTTTTTTTATCTATATGAAATCTGCAGTAATACTTGAAAATACTATTTCTTTGGTTTTTATTTTCTTTCACAAATCGAGAAAAGTTAATATTTTTGCATATCTTTGCAAATGCAGAAATAAAGAATATTTTATTTGATAAATTTTTTCTACAATTTCAATAGAATTTCGATGGAAATTGAATCCACTTTTTTAGTATTAAAATGATTAACTTTGTATAAATGTCGTTCAGATTGTTTAGTTTATTTTAGGAAAAGAACACATTGAAGCTGTCGCCAAGTATTAGATATATACATGTATAAATAAAATGCATGCTCAGCTTTACAGTTTTAAAATGTGTTCCATTAAAAGTTGTGTGGTTTAGATGAATGAAGACCTTGTTACAGGGTATCATCTAGGCGAACTCACTCGTCAAGAGTCCATTTGCGTGTTATTATTGCAGTCGCTTGATTGTTATTCTTTCTGCATCCTGCTCTGTACCCCCAATGTGGCAGGCAATCTGTCAGGATTCCACCACCAATTCTAATTTTCAATGCGGCTTGGTCTCGAAATTGGGGTTCAGCAACAGCCACCAGCAGCATCTATGTATAACACGCTTATCTTTCGATTACCACAGCGAATTGTATTGAATTAGGTACATAATTCTCTGCATTTTGGACACAAGCACCCAACAGGAACATATTTCGATTTACACTCCTTTTCCATAAGCATTAATATGCATACAGCGCCCTTAACATTTGGAACGAATGCAGAGAATCTTAAAATGGGGAAAAATAATGGAAAAACTTATCGAAAATATATAAAAACGGCTGGGTGGGGAACGCAGAAGATTACATACCCATGCAGACTTAAGTACACCTGCTCTTGTCTGCATTAAAGTATTTATTTCAAAAATAATTATCGATATTCCATATTGGAGCTATGGACAAAAATGCAGCTTATACATCATTCGACTGATTGTTCCTATAGCATCCATATGATATAGTGATTCGATACGGCTGACTAGGTGATAGGGATGTCTGCAGCCCTGCAAAAGTATGGATATATCCCAAATTTAATTAAGATTTTAAAACTTGAGAACTGGTCTTCGTTATAAACATGGCATGGCAATATCTACTTAGCTATTGACACTGATCATATATATATATATATATATATATATATATATATATATATATATATATATGTATTTTTTTTTTTTGAGGATGAAGACTGTGCAACTTACCTTACGATATCAAATTTTTAATTTTCCCTCTGGTGTTTAGTTTTTAAAAAATGCACTTCAAAGTTGAATACAAATTTCAGTATAACTTTTATTTATTTATTTATTTTTATTTTTTTAATTTTAGCTTATTTGTTGATCAATTTTAAAAAATTAAAGTCTGTCTCTTGAAATCAATTTTGAATTTTATTCGAAGATCCAAAACAAATAATATTTGCAAGATTTTGTATTCAACTAACCAACAAAAATTTATCCCTTATTATGAATATAAATTTATTATAGATAAATCTGCTAATAAAAAAATCAAGAAAGCTATAAAAGCAGTGTTTGGGACTCAAATCTAAGTTAATTCTTATTTTAAGGCGCTTTAAAATAATTTTATGGTCCGTTTGAACTAATATGCAATATCATTTCACATATGTAGATGTTTAAGTATAGATTTTCAAGCTAATTAAACAAAATTTTGGAGTGCAATTAGGAAGCACATGTTTTTTAAAATGTTTTAAATTAGCATAAAAGTCATCGGGCGAAAATGTAGCTTTCCACATACATAACACTTTTAGCGACAGAGTTTAATACAAGCATTTACAAACATTTTCCATTGACTTCAGTGCTTAGATGGGTGGAGGAACTAGGTCTCAGACAAGTCAGATGTCTTCTAGGTGGCTATAATCAAAAACAATTTAGAAAAATTATAGTCATGGGGAATACTCACCGGTTGGAGAAGAAGTCACCTAGCAAAACTAGGTAGCGAATTCTGCGCGATTTTGGGCTAATGAGAGCGAATCCTCAAAGCACATCTTAGAAGATTGTATCTCCTTAGCCAGCAAAATGTGCTGTACTTAAACATATTTTAAATTCGGAGTAAAAAGAAACCCTCAACCCAACAAAGATTCTCACATTCGTGCCGGAATAAGGGTTGATGGAAGAGCTATAGGTTCAAGAGGGGGAACAATAGACCTAATAATAATGATAATATTGCTTAAACTGGTGTTCAGTCACTGATCCAATCAGTCAATCAGGAGAACTAATTTCAATAATCTTTTCAAATATCAGTTTATTAAATATTTGTAATGAATTTTGCTTTAATTTAGATTTTCGAAGACTAAACTACTTTATTTTCGTGTGAATCACATTGAAGCTATGTAATTTTAGAATCAACTGGAATACCTTCAATTCTCGCAAATGCTGTGATAAAATTGCCTTCTCTGCGGGGAAATAAGCATATCAAAAACATAAAGCTCATGTGTGCAAATTTACTGACAAGGACCTTTAAAATATTCTCATCGCTAAGGTTCATCGATAAATTTTCAGCAATGGTGGTGGTTGTAAATTTCATTGGACTTGGGAACACAACAGCCCACAAAGCCCAACCCAATGGAAGCAACGAACGGAACTTCGGGTGAAAGCATTTTACTTGTATATAACATAAAAAACGCATTAAGTCGCTCAGAACCGAAACAGAAACACTTTTTTGGGCAATCTTTGAACCTTCACTGAGGGGAAATGCCAATGTTTATATAGCAGGGTGCATTTTATGGCATTTCTCTTCTGCTCTTGTTTTCCCGCCCCAGCTCGATGCTCACACGAATATTTCGGATAAGTTCAGCGAAGAAGGGACAATCAGACTGTAAATTGCATCCATATAACTAAGTTCGGCTACATACACAAGGCTATGTATCCAAAAATCAGTTTGCAACCCTTAAGCTGCCCAACATTTAAATAAACATTGATCATTAAGTCAACTTACATGCTGACGGTGCAAACACATCTTATCGCAGATTGACATTTTAAAATTAAATTCATTTTGGGCAAGTTGGTGGGACCACAATAACTACAGGGAAAACTACACATGCCCTACTATACTTTTAAACTTTTAATAATCGCAAATATATAATAATTAAATATGTATATATATATATATATATATATATATATATATCAAACTCGTTGCCTAAATTATATGTTATACAATTTGTTTAGGCTCGAACAGGAATTTAATCTGTTTGTGGCCCGGCTCGTAATTTCTGCTCATTGAAACATATTAACTATAAATTAAAAGTAATACATTTTACACATTTTATAAATTTCTTTATATTGAGCTTTTCGTTAAAGGTGTCCGATTTGTAATTTTCCATACATTCCAATCTAAATATACATTTTAATGTAGAGTCTTGTAAAGTAGGGTTTTGTAATGTTGTTTTGATGTAGAGAGGGCTGCTGACACCCTCTTCCCCTCT